GAGCGAGAGAGAGCGAGAGCGCAGAGGCTGGGAGAGGGGAAAGCAGAGAAGATGGAGACAGAGGTAGAGACAAAGATGAGACACGGGACACAGATAGCGAGACTGCCTTTCTGCCTGTGGGTGTGCGCACGGTGGGACAGCTCTCCAGGCTCTGCGTAAATGTCTCCACCCTCCCGCAGCATCTCCCAGGGACACTGCAGGACTTGCTGGGGCGCAGCTGGATCCGAGAGCAAATAGTTTAGGCTATGACACTATTTTTCTACCTCGCTCTCCGCTGCCTAACACGCTGACTGCTCCACGCCCAGTGACACAGACAGCGAGCCAGGACAGCCCTGATGCCCTCCCCCCCCTAGTCTGCACGCACCAGGGATGCCGCCCGACAGAGCCCACGCTTCCGCAGGGCGTTGGGGGACGCTCGGCCGAGGGCGTCCCACTGGGATCCCGGCAAACGTTCTCCTCTGCCGCTGGACCCGCTAGTAAAGTTGCTCAACTTGGGCGGAAAGCTGAGAGGGGGTGGGGAGATGGAAGGAAAAGGAGGACTGCTGTAGCCGGCTCGGGAGGTCTGGCCTTAGAGGCCCCAGATTCAGGTCCCCGCGCCACCTTTGTCTGGAGAGCGCTCTGAGCGCTGGTTTGCTCGTTGAGACCGGAGCGAAAGCCTCCACTTCGCTCTTTAGGGTGAGAGAAAATTCTTACACATCCCTGCTGGTTCAGGGCGAGCTTTTCCCGCCCAGGCGCCTCCCAGACCTCTGCTGGGCTCCAACAACCCCACCCCCAGCCCCTGCTCCGTCCCGGCCGGCCCCTGCGCACCGCGCGCAGGACAAAAGAACCCAGGGGCACGGGAGAGAGTCTTGACAGCCCCCAAGTCGCCCAGGAGACGCAGCCCGAGGACCCTGTACCTCCCCGGGCCGGACCTCCTCCCAGACTGCCTGCGGGCTGAGGGGGTCACGTCCGCGCAGGTCCCGGGCTGCTGGGGCGCGGGGTCGCCCTGTCAGGAGCTGCCTGGGAGCAGCTTTCCAGGAACGCAGGGAACCGGCCACACACCAGGGACCGGCAACCAGGTGGCCTACACTAAAGCGGCTTCGGGCACTTGTATGTGGGCAAGTCTCCCGAGTCCCCATTCAAACTTTTGCCTCAGCAGGTTAACAACAACAACAACAACAAAAAAAGATCAAGGGGCCATGAGTCCCTCCCTCCCCTCCAGCTCAAGACCCGACGACTTTTTTAGGGGTTCTCTACAATTTGCTTCCTCCCTTCCCCCAATTCCGACAGTCCTTCTATCCCCACCCCACCTCGGGCTTCTTTTGTCTGGATCTTTTTCAGCACCACGGTCCCTCTGTATTCCTCTCTCCAAACGTCCTTCTGAAAGTTACCTGCATTTTTAAAGTGCATATATTTTCTAAACTTTGCCTTCCTACTAGTTCTCTTTGCTTTAATTAAAGCCTTCTGCAAATTGCAATGTACTTTTTTACTAAGCTCGCTTTTTTCTATAAGTTTTTTTTTTTTTTTAAGAGGGAACAAAAGAAACGTGATTACCTTGAAAGACGGCTTATTGCAGTTTGTGGGGAACAATTCACCGGAGCGCTGCGCGAATGGGCTCGGCGTTGCCCAGGCGGGTCACATAGGAAGCGCGGTGGCCTGGGGAAGGGTGCTGAGGGTGCCGGATGGTGCTGGAGGATGCGGGAGGATGCGGGGCTGGCCGCGGATCCCAGTCCCAGCGCCTGTCCACAGCACCTAATGTTCGCGGCTATTGCGCCCGCCCGCCTGGAGTTCTTCCCCAGAAAGGCTTGGGGCAGCTTGCCTGCAAGTTCAAATGGGGGTTGTGACACCCATCATCATTATATCACTGTACCGTCAGCACCGAGGAGGAGACTCAGCGAGGAGGAGGAGGAGGAAGAGGAGGAGGCTTGATTCACTAGCTCCTGAAGCGCTCCGCAGCTTCAGCCACTCCAAGAGCCCAGGCTTGCAAAGCAGGCAGAGGGGCGGAAAAGCAGCGCCCCGCGCTTGCGGTAGGGACCGCCTGCCTCCCTCCCCAGGCACTCCCACCTCTCGGCGTTTCTTCCTGACAAGAAGTACCAATCGGCTTGGGGACAGCAGCGCTCCCCATTCAGCGACTCACTAAGTAACATCGCGCTGCGCGCACGGAAACCACTGCCCTCCCACCGCTTCCCCACCCCCACTTCTCCGCCCCCCGTGCTGCCAGTTCTGGGCTAGGGGAAACGAGCCCCCAGGCTCTGTGGAGCAGGCCAGCACTAGACAATTGAGTACCGTCAGTTCTTCTTGGGAGCAAAAGAAACTCTGTAAAATCAGCAAAGAACTTGATTACAGCGTGTTCACGCGGCCACCGAGTCTGCCTGTCCCATGTGAGGGAAGTGCCATGCTCGCGGCTTCTGCCAACCTGAGATACAGACAAGGCGATCCTTCTGAGACCTAGAGGGAAAGCTTAAGAATCCTCCACTGCCTTCCGCGGGAACTGCCCAATGGGGAGCCCAGCGTCATTGCGCAATCTACAAAGACCCTGGTAATAAAGGGCTGAACAGGAAATTCCCTTGTCGGATTCAAACAGATCCTCTTCCTCTGGCACAAGCCTACCTAAGTCTAGATTCTGTTTTCTTCGTTCTTCTTTCCCTCAGTCTTTCAAAGTGTCCCTCATGGTAGAGTATTTAATAATTTTTCTGAGTGACAGAGACTCCTTGGATGCATCAATCACCTTCCTTGTGGTCAGGAAATGAAACCATAATCTTTCATGTTTATGCGTTTTTTGTTTCCAGCCAGGCCCTCCCGACTATGTAAACAACATCAACACATGGAAGAGTCCCCTGCATTGTGTCCAACAGGGCCTTCCAGAGCCAAGGGTCAACCAGTTGACACAAAGGATTTCTGCCCCTTAGAAAGAGGGACTTTGTCTTTTCCTTTTCTTTGAAGTCAGGTAGGAGTTTATACAAGGGGAACAAAATAGGTCCAAGGTGCACATCAGTTTAACACTGGGATCGCAAACAATTCTTTCTACAAATATGGAAGCACCTTTATAACTCTCTCTGGTCCCTACTTAGAAAATTACATGGAACACAATACATCAGAACAGTGAAAATACCTTTTCCGAATTTTGTATAAGCTGGCTCAAGTGCGTACTTTAAAACTTGTAGTAACTTAGACTTCCGTGCATGCACATTTATAATTTTTCCTTTGTAAGTTACTTTTGCAAGTTGTATGCGTCCTGCATGATCACAGTTATTTTAAGTGATAAAACATAGAAAGTATTTCAGGATTTCAATCTTCAAAATATGCATCTTTCATTTTTTTATTAATCAGCTCACTACAGTGAATGACATGACTGTTAATTACAGGATATGACAATCAATGTTTCCACAATGATTTATTTACTCTGAGTATAGTTATTATACTATCATTCCTAACATTGAAGTTCTAGTCCACTAAATATTTAGAAAAACAAGAGTCATACAACAGAATCAGACTTCAACCTTCAAATGGAACAGAGAAGCAAACGAAGGCCCAGAAAGTGACTTTGTTAGTCACATAATTAGCAGCAGAGCTGGTATCAGGACGTAACTCGTGACTCCTAGTCCAGTAATCTTTTCAGTGTTCCTCATACCAACTTTATAATCAGAAAAGGGGGGAAAAATGGAATAGAAGAATGTTTATTGAAATGTATACTCCAGGCATTAGTGCATATCTTTCTCTGAAACACTTCAAAGTATGTATTATTATTCTCATTCTTAAATTTGAGTAAAGTTAGTTGAGTTCCAAAGAGTTCAAGCGTCTTGCCCAAGGCCACTTTCTAAGTGGTAGATCTGCCAACCTGAAAAGCTCATTATCTCTCCATCACCCTGTTTTCCCTTTATAATACAGTTAAGTAAAACATTTCTACAAAGGAGATCTAGAACAGAAACACGCAAATAATAGCAGATTCATATCCATTTTCAAGGAACTATTAATAGTTAATATTCACTATAAATAATGCCATATGTACATGATGGAACATGATGAAAAATTATGAGTCAGATATTCCTTACCTCCTGAGATATTCTCCTTTATCTTACTAAAGGTGTTTCTCTAGCCCTCCAACATTTATCATTCCTTATAATGTCCATTCCTAGACATTACACCTCTTGACAGGATAGTCCTACAGGACAAAAGCACTTCTCAGGCTGACTTAACTAGTCAGGACATGGACAATGTTGAAAAGCATGCTTTCACTTTACTTTGGCTTCTAACATTATTTAGAAAATTAAATTCTTCTTCAGGCTGTCAAATAACTAAAATGAAATGACATCCCTGAATATCTGCTTTTTTTCTCTAAGTCACTATTTTCCCCTCTAGCTATCTATAATAGAGAAGAAATAAAAAGGAAAGCATACCAGGTACATTCAGGAGAGTCTACAGCTGTATTATTTCTACGTAACTCTCCTTGAGGTCAGTCTCTCTCTCTGTCTCTCTCTCTCTCTCTCCTCTCTTCCTCTCTCTCTCTCTCCCCCCCTTCTTCCCTCCCTTCCTTTATCAAGAAAAAGAGAATGAGAGAACAGTTATTTCTGATTTCCCCATATCTGAAAAACCATTGGAAGATTTTGAATGGGAAACATTTTTTTTGCAGCTTTTATAGTTAAAACTATATTTGCCCATATTACTCTCAAGTCTGAATCAAACAGTAATTCAAACATCATTCTATGCATCCCCTTTAAATCCTGTCCTTGTACTGGGGATGTTCTATATGTAAATTCCACAGTCTGGGTGTAGATAAAGCAAGATCTTCACTCCTTGTGTTGGTGTCTACAAGAAGTCAGAAGCCAGAAGCTATGTGACTTCCTTTGTTGCCTTGATCTTGTCTTTAGGAACTTGGCTGAGGTCAGAGGCAGCCAGCCAATGACTTGGAGAAGAAAGGTGTAGTTGGCAGGTGGGTATCCAGGGAATTTCATTATCTCCATCTAAACCTCCTTCGGAGGTCCTTTGGGATCACATTTCAGTCTTCTCCTTTTTTATTTATCAGGTGAAGCGTTCTGAGACATGGTATTATCTGTTGCTGCACTAGGGATGACAAGGTTTCAGTCCCATCCACGTTCAGACAACAGAGTTCACATTTCAAGGCCCTGATCTGGCGGATCCTAGGCACAAGCAAATATCCTCTCTGGGTGGTAAAAGAACATGACAGAGTAATGAATTTCAAAGACCCTAAAAAAAGGAAGCCAATCACCTATGATTGCTTAAAAAAAATTTTTGACTCTACACATTAGAAATAGATATTTTATCTGATACTCTAAATCTGTCGGGGTTTTGTTGTTGTTGTTGTTGTTTTTTGCTTTGTTTGTTTGTTTTAGAAAATGCAGAATATAAGGTTTTTGTTTTCTTCTTTTAAAAAATAGAAGAAACCCTACAAAAGGCAATGATGGTGACAATCTCATTACACTGTAACCTGAAGTATATAAATTACTCAGGGAAATTGCACACAGACAAATAACCTTAGAAAGCCATGAAAAATTTTATTTTTCCCAGAAATCAGATGCTGAGCCTTTGCTCCCCAACCCTCAAATCAAAGTGTTACAGTGTAATGTTTCTTTCTATAAGAATTTTTTTTCTTTGCTGTAAATGTCCTGTCCACGGACAGGCAGATTTCTCCAGTACTTAACTGGAAGACCATCTACATCACGAGGGAACTATGCGAACCGGAGCCAAGTTCCAACATGGAGTGATGGGAAAGGCTGGGCTGCCGAGAGGAGATGACTTCATTAGGGAGAAAAGAGGCTCTCTGATTTGGTCCACACGGCAGCCAAATGGCTCAGCACATCTGCACTTACCCCTGGGAGGCTGCCTGGAGCACAGTTTCAAAAATGCCATCGTTTTTATAAAGAAAAAGATCAAGGCATAAATAAAGCCATCCAACTAAGTAGAATCGAAGATAGTATCAACTTTACTCCCCTTGTTAGTCACTTTCTGAAACTCTTTTCTTTCCTTCTCCACAGCCTGAAAAAAATATAGGTCAGTTGTTTTTTTTTTTTAATAAAACATTTGTCTGACTGAACCAGGATGAAGTGAAGGCTCTGGTTCCGAACACAAGGAAGCGGTAGAGATCTTAGAATCTATGTGGCAGGGCAGAGAACAACACATAGATTTTCATAAGAGGTAAAACTTGGGCAGTTGCTGTTTATTTTCAGTGAGTACAAGACTCCATTTATTTAATTGGAGTACAAGGGGAGCCCAGAGACAAGAAGCTTAATGAAAGCACCATGAATGGTGCAAAAAGCCACCATGGCATCATTAGTATCCCTGATGAGCAAAGGTGGAAAGCAAGGCAGGAAACAAAGAAGTTGTACATAGTGGGAAGAATATTTGGAGCGCTTCAGTACAGGTATCAGAGCAGGGCATAGAATGAACAAGCAGACATTCAATTATTATTCTATTAGTAAAAAGAATCACAGGAGTAATTAAATGTCAAGGAGTTTAGGCTCTTGCCACAAAATATAAGCAATCACACTTTAACCCTCTGCAATGAAAAGGAGATCAAATATTTGCTATAACTCACAAAGTGAAAAGAAGAGAAGAAAACTTATAAGACTCAGCAAATACTTGTCACAAATAGACCACTCTCCATTTCATTTCTAGTTTCTTTGTTCAAGTCAACATTTATTGAACACCTTCTATGTGCTCTGTTTAGACTTTAGGCATTCAGGCATTATTCAATAGATAAGACTTGCTTCCCATCATAAAGGATTTTATAATCTCTATAGAAAAAAAATAATTTATTAGAGTAGCCAAGGTTATGATTGATCTACATAATGACTAATGAATTTAGATGGAAACAGAGTATTTTTGTGTGTGGATCCATTGACTGGGCTAGTCAGCCATCTTTTAAAAACATGCCATTGACTAAAAATGGATTAGGGAGAATGATAGCTCAACAAATCTATGTCCTTTACTGGAGAATCTCTATCAGGCGCAAATGCTACCAACATTGAATCCCAGGCATTAATCTTGTTGTATAGGAAGAAATTGGGTTTCTTATTTTCCCATAATAAAAATATGTTAGTTAGATGACATGTACTCGGGGTTCATTTTAAGTTTCT